AGAAACATCAATGAGAGAGAAACATCGATCAGCTGCCTCCTGCACATCTCCCACTGGGGATGTGCGCACAACCCAGGTACATGCCCTTGACCGGAATCGAACCCGGGACCCCTCAGTCCGCAGGCCGATGCTCTATCCACTTAGCCAAACCGGTTTCGGCAGAAGATTTAGTTATTAATTCATTTCCTCAGTATTTGCTGAGCCTCTATCATGGTTCATACAGTCAAAGAAACTACGATCCATGTCTTCATAGAACTTTTACAGATTTACTTAAGGCTCACTCACCAGTGACTAAAACCCTCTATCTTTCACCATTGGGCATGCAGTGCATTAGTGAATTGTATTTCAGAGCAGTCCCCTGGGACATGGATCATAAAACATGCATTTACATTGTAGAATCATAGTTCAGTTCAGAATACTGAGTTCAGAGCCTCAACTATTGGACATCGACCTTAATCAGCTCCCTACAGTTTCTAATACGGGTGTTCCGGGGGACCGGCTCCCTGGATCGGCTGCTGATGGGGTTTGTCATTTGAACATTTTCAGACTTCCAGCAGCGGACGGCACTCTGTGCGCATCACCGGCCTCAGCACTATTGATTTCCGAGCTGGTTTTTCCCGAAAGCCCACCCTGGACTTCAAGAAAACAGTCAGCAGACCAGTGCAAGGTTTGTATGTGCATATTGCTTTAAACTGATATAATAGAGATCCAAGTGAAAATGTTTCTCAGAATGTCTGTGATTTTATGATTCTCACTAGTCAATAAAATTGGGAAACAGAGCATCTTTAAACATGACTGCGCTCTTGGCCTAATCACTGTTTTCCAGCGTGTAGTCCCAAGACCAGTGGTACTGAAATCTCTCAGAGAGATGCTCAAAAATGAAGATTCCTGTGCCTTGCCCCAGATCTCCTGCGTCAGACCCTCAGGAGGCAGGGCCTAGGCATGTGTACTTCCAGGAGTATCCCAGTTGATTGCTATACTTACTAAACTTTGAAAACTACTGACCTAGATGTTGAGTCTTCCTCTTACTAACATCTATAAATTGATTTGTTGTCAAGGTGCAAAGGTAAATTGTGTGTGTATATATGGCTAAAAAGTTAAGATATTATATATCATTATATGTTTAAAGGTAAAATTATTGCTGACTTTTAAGCTTGTTCTTCATCTTAGTTTATTTATGCATGATTATTTAGAGTTTTAGAGCTATTAAAAAAACTCAATACTACTGTGACTCTTTAAAAATTTTTTCTGGTTTTCATTTATTTTTATTGCATTTATTGGAAGGATATAAATAGTGAACTTTAAAAATATGTGATCAAACATCACATAACAGTATTCACAATTATAATGTTTCTACATGTAAACATAGTTAATAGACTACAGAATAATCACTTGAGATTTCCTAAGTACCTCTGACCATGAATAAACTGCCTTAATGTGGAAAAGACTCTACAACTTGGCCACACTTTATAGGATAGTCGGCAGTACTCATACTTATGGTACTTATTATCTGTTATTATTAAAATACAAACACTTACTTCGTATCACACCTCATTTGAATATTACTTGTAAATAATAACAAAGTCTTTCTCTTCTAGGAATCCCTACCTATGTGCTTCTGAACACTTCCGGGCTTTCCGTCCCAGCTAGAGTAGATCGTCTTGAACTTCTCAGTATCTCAGGCGCTTCTCTGAAGACTATTCCTGTGAAATATTACCCAGAGCGGAAACCTTATGGCATCTGGAACATTTCTGACTTTATGCCACCAAGTGAAGCTTTCTTCCTCAAAGTAGCAGGTTATGATAAGGACGATTATCTCTTCCAGAGAGTATCAAGTGTTTCCTTCTCTAGTATCGTCCCAGGTGAGACATCATTTCATTCAATACTGGAGTATTGATAGCTTAAGGAAGGGGGAGGGGGAGGAAGTGATGTAGTCCTATAGGTAAAGAATCATCCTATATAATAAAAGGCTAATATGTAGATTTTCCCTCAACCAGGAGTTCAACCGGGAGTTTGACCAGGGGGCAGGGCCCACAGGCCAACTGCCCACGGCCCCTCCCCCTGGCTGGCTCAACCCCCAATCAGCCCCCACATCCCAATTGGGGGTGGGGCCAGCCAGCCAACTGCCTGCGGCCCCTCCCCCCTGCTGGCCCAGCCCGATCTGCCCCAATTGGGGCGGGGCGGCAGGAACCCAACTGTGCAAAAATTCGTGCACCAGGCCTCTAGTAGACTATAAAGTTAAAAATAATATCTTCACATTGTTACTGGGTTACTGATTTGATGAGCATTGACACATAGGTTATGTAGTCTTTAACTTTTCTTAACTATGAAATAGCACATCAGAGTTTCATGTTAAGGCTCATTGATTATAGATCTGAACATTTTGATCATGTCAATCAATGTAAGAAGTCAAACTGGGAAATTCTGGTGCTCTTATTCTCTCTACAAAGCCTGGCATATGCCCTAACCAGTTTGGCTCAGTGGATAGAGCGTCAGCCTGCGGATTCAAGGGTCCCAGGTTCGATTCTGGTCAAGGGCATGGACCTTGGTTGTGGGCACATCCCCAGTAGGGAGTGTGCAGGAGTGCTGGGGTCCAGCCCCAGCAGGTCCAGGGGTCCCCAAAGGTGTGGACGGAGTCGGCGAAGAAGGAACAACACGGAGACAGCGTTCATTTGATCAGCAGCCTAGCCAGGATCTCCAGCCAAGTTCTGGTCTGGATCTCCAGAGAAGTTCTGGCTTGGATCACCAGCCAGGTTCTGTGTCCATGTTCCCTTGCTAGGTTCTCCAGCCAGGTTCTCCAGGTTCTCCAGCCAGGTTCTGTAGCCATGTTATCTCGCTAGGTT